GAAAGATGGTAACTAAAAGAAAACTGACATTCATAATAAAAGACTGCTAAAATTTCTGAAACATATGAGGAAAGAGAGTCTAGAGAATTTAACACTCACAAGATTTTTCTTTCTGAAGCAGAACAGCAACAACATTTTGAATGGATTCAGCACATAAATAGAAAGGAATAAATGGCTGAACAAGGACAAAGATAAAACTTAGAAAAACAGAATGCTGTGTCGAGCAATAGTCATCCATGTCTTGAAGGGATATGGCACATAAAATAAAAGAAGAATCCTCATTTCAAGTGAAATATTCTCATCTTTAGTTTTTCCTAAATATCATACACCTTCAAAATGAAAGCAGACATGGCTCTCCACAGTTTCTTTTTACTTAATATCTGTGACTTGCTATAATTATTCTTGGGAAAGATAGTTGGGTGATTTCCCATTGTTTTCTTCAGTTTTGAATATCATGTGGTATCTCAGCGTCTAACATTCTCTTTCTCCTGGGCTGGTTGCTTTGCAAGGATTAGAGAACTCAGTCTGCCTCTTTAGCTACCCATAGCTGAGGGAGAAGATGCAACTGTGTCTTTCTTAAGGACTTGAACACACCCAGAATTTTCAACTTGCCTACTGATTCCATTGTCTGTACTGATAACCATTACACCACCTGAACCCTACTAGCCTGTCCAATAATCTACAATGTATCCCCTCAAGATATGGACAATATGGCTCTCCACAACTACCTAATCTTTAAAGCAATGTGAAAAGAGCCAATCAAGGATTTAGGCTGTGTTCACATACACACATATAGAGACATTTTAAGATCTATTTAAATTATTTATGTTTGGACTAATATCCTCATCTTTGTTGTTATTATCACAACATTTTGGCTATCAGGCTCTCCTGCCTTTTCAGGTGCTTATCAAGCCAGGTAACCTTCAGGAATTTTCAAACTGATCCCCTTATTTAATCTACAATGGGTTAAATTGTTTCCTTTCCATTTTTCATGCCTAGGGATATCTTACAATGTTCTTATTTTTAGTAATACTCAGTTATTGCTGGCTTATGATCACATCACATTAAAAACACTGGTTCTTGTACAATCACCAAAGTTAAACAACATCAAGCCTGGTGAGTACCATCTTTCTTCAGGATGGCTTTGAATTCAGAGTTTTCCAGAGCCCAATCGACCCATGGATTCATACATTCCCCAAGGGTATTTGCGTGAAAGTGGACACAAGAAACTCAGTTGGAAATTGAACTTGGCACACTGATTTTGCTTTCCGCATCAATAACCACCTGCACATCCTCTTAAATGACATTACATAATTAATAAAGTATAATAAAAAAGAAAATGTAACAAAAAGTATTAAAAACATATGTTAATTAATAAAATAACAGAATAGGTAGATTAACTTTTTAGAGACCAAGCTTAGTTATATATATTAGTTTTCAATTAAATTTCAATATGACATCACTTAAGGGTAACTAAGTGATGTTATAGCATAAGAAATTTCATAGTCAAAAAAAAAAAACATTGATAAAATAATAAAAATTAATGCTTGTCCAGCATCAAAAAGACAAGTCTTAAAATATGTTCAATGGGTGAAACAATTGGCATCAAATGGTTAATTTGCTAAGAAAGACAAAAAATGTGCATGCTAACACATCCAATCAGTTAAGATCGGGAGCCATGCCTGGTGTAGCATCAGGGCATTTTATTATTATTATTATTATTTCCTTTGATCTCTATTATATATTCATTTCATTCCAGGTCTCAACAAAAGATCTAGGGTCAGAAATGGCATCATGACATTTTCCACTGTAAAAAAAAAAAAAAAAAAATCAGGCAGACATTTTATATAGATAAAGCTCTTCATAAGGTGTGAGCTGTGTTTGTGAGAACAATTTTTGTATTTCTTTAAGGCATGAGTTACCACGGATCCCTTCAGTGAGACTACCAGAACATTTTCCAAACAAACGAAGGACTCCAACCACAACTGGAATCATTGATGCCCTCATGTGACACACTTTTGAGATTTCCACTTCAAGATCCATGTATTTTGATAGTTTTTTTGAAGATCTTCAAAGACACATTACAGTCTGAAGGAACTGCGATGTCAATAATATTATTACAATTTTTATTATTATTATTATTAGTAGTAGTAGTAGTGTAAACACATATTGTATTCTAGTCTTTTCCATGTATATTATTGATAAAAATAAAATAATCAAAATGAATGCTTGTCTAGTATCAAAAATACATGTTTTGAAATATTTTTGACTAATGGAATAATGGTGACTAAAATGTTAAAAACAATAACAAATACAGGCATGTTTCTAATGTGAAAGACAAGCCTGTTTCTTGTTTGTCATATCTCATCTTGGTTCAATTGAAGACAATGCCAAACACGATTGAAAATGGATATTCATTGTATGTCTGTATTTTGTCTTAATGATACTTGTGTTTGCGAAAACAATCTCACACAGCTGTGTTGAGGGGAATGGTAAAAACAAAAAAACTTTCAAACCAATTTCTGGATAGTCTGCGTTTATGTTTATCTAAGAAGCAGCAAGAAATGTTGCAGTTTGCATATTTCCTTTTTTTTTAAAATTATCGAATGCTATGACCTCACGTAAAAAAAAAATCAATTTAACATAATCATAAAATAATTGTCAATGATTATTTGTCAAAATGTATTCGACATCTGTTTTCTCATAACAAATTATACGAACAAATTAAAATTTTATGAATACATCACTGAGTTAAGGATAGGGAAGATATGTTTTCATTATTTTAAGCATTATTTTTATTTACTTTCTTCTAATCATTTCACCTCAAGCAAGGCAATAAAGCCACTAAGAAGCTAGGGGGTAACTGGAGTGTAAGACAATATGAGAAAAAGAAAAACATTATTAAGGAGAGAAAACAATAAAAAATATGAATTAAGAAGATACAAGATAACAATTGACAATGCATTTAAATTTTTAAAGATCAAAGTTGAGTAGAAAATAAAAAGCAGGAAAAAGTTCCACAAGCGAGAAGTGTGTGAAAAGAAACTGCTAGCATAGATCTTACAGTTACATCAACCATTTCAAGTGTAAAATGATGAGACCTTGCCACTAATCTAGTACTGTGCTTAAATTCATAAAATTTACGTACCAAAGTGGAAAGCACATCAGAACAATTACCATAAAAATATTTATGGAAAAGGCACAAGGAAGCTACATTATGGCAGTGGGGAAGTGACTGAAGCCGAGATGCCAGGTTAGAAACAATAACATTACAGATTCATCTTTGGATTTTATCAAGAATCTCTGAATGTATAGCAGCAGCAACAGAGCATATGTGGCAGCAATATTCAAAGCCTGGACAAATGGTAGACTTATTGCCACCAATCTAGTACTGCACTTAAATTCATAAAATCTATGTACCAAAGTGAAAAGCACATCAGGACAATTATTATTAAAATATTTATAGAAAAGGCACTACATTATGGTGGTGGGAAAGTGACTGAAACCAAGATGCTAGGTCAGGGTCAATAACATTACAGATTCTTCTTTGTATTTTATTAAGAATTTATAGTTAAATAGCAGGAGCATCAGGCCATATATGGCAGCAATATTTGAAAAATGGACAAATGGTAGACTTATAAATGTATAAGATAGATTCTGGCAAGAAAAATTGACTAGCACGACACAATAAAACCAACTTTCCTAGCAGCAGACATTGCAATTGATTCAATATAATCTTCCCACTTCATGTCATGCTTTCAGAAGCACTGCTATAGATAAGATCAGATTCATTATTTACATTGTTCAGACTATTGTCCTCATCTTTGTCGCCATATTTATTACAACGTTTCAGCCGTGTACGCTCCGGCCTTCTTCAGGTGGTTGGAATGTCGAACTTAACCCTTTATTTCGCTCACCGGGGTAGACTGTTCTAGTTCCATGTGCTATGGTACAGTGGATAAAGGCGTTGGTTAGATCCAGTGACAGGACCCAATGAGTGTGAGTTCAATAATAATAAATGTAATAAATATGGTGACAAAGATGAGGACAATAGTCTGAATAATGTAAATAATGTACATAATACCTCATCTCAGAAATATAGACGGAACATCAGATTCCTTCAAGCAGAACATATTCAATAGCTCCATTTCATCACTTAAAAGTAATACCGTCTTGACTCCAGACATATCTAGTCTTCAGCTGCCCAATCCACACTTTCCGTATTTGACACGGCTTAAAAGTGTTTACATGGCTTTGTGGGTGATGAATTATTTTTCACCCTCCAACTCCTTTCCAACAGATGAAATATTGCTAACCTCTCACTACTATATTGATATTTCCATGGCAAATGTTTAGACAAGCTACATTCTTTAGTTCCACTAGTTCAGATCTTTACATCTATGCCTCTATCACAATTTCTATAGCAAATGTTCAGATGAGCTACATTCCTTAGTTGCACCAGTTCAGACCTTCACAGCAAGAACCCACTATGTCACATACACAGGGTTGAATTGCCCTCATTCCCTTTGCATTCCATTGATACAAAGGCAGTTTTACTCAGACAGCTTGTTCCCAAGAACTATTACTTTGTGGAACAGACTCCCAAGAGGATACTTCCCCAATCACTATGATCTTAACCTTTTCAAGCCTAGGGTTAAACTGTTATCTATCCTACATATCCATATAATCTATATTTAATTTTCTACAACACCCTCACTTGTTAACCATCTACTTTGAGTGGCTCTTGTGCCTTGTATTGAGTGAACAATAGTATAAAAAAAACTTGCTTCACAAGAAGGTAATTGTGTATTTAATGCTGATTTTTAAGGCAATCAGCTCGTCTCTCTTCACACACTCATGTTTCTCTTTTCCCATTTCATCAGAGAACAAATTTAGTTAAGCATAGTAAATATCTGTTATACATTCGACATTGTAAATATTTAATAAAGATTCTCTTATTCACAAAAGACAAAAGTGGTACCAAATGTTTTGTCTCTTACCGTATAGCTTCCAATCTTTGATCATTTCGAATAAGCTCTATAAATTCTTGTTGACGAAGTTTGAACTCCAGTGTACTCTGAAAGAGAAACAAATATTAACAAATCAGTACTAGGAAAATGATAAAAAGACTACCTGTCTCCCATAATAGTTGATCCATTTGCATACATATTTCTTACACTAAATGTATCAACCATTATGGTAAAAAGGTAGTATTGCTATTATCTGTCCCATAATAGTTGTTACATTTGCATACACATTTCATACACTAAATGTAACAACCATTATGGGACAGAGGTAGCATTTCTTCTATTTCTGTCCCATAATAATTTTTACATTTGCATGCACATTTCATATGCCAAATGTATCAACCATTATGGGACAGAGGTAACATTTTTGCCATCTTTGTCCTGTAACAGTTGTTATATCTGCATACACATTTTATCCAATAATTGTAAGAAACATGATAAAACAAAGGTAGGAAAAATAATAAAAACAAAAAAAAAGACAGGGTACACAACAAAAAGATTACTTTTGTCATATAATATTTGTTCCATCTAAATGAAATTGCTTAGATTAAAAAATACATTAAAAAATTAAAATTCTCATCATCCCTTTTTTGTGTGCATGTGTCGTTGGGCCAACATAACAAGTTTAGTCTGATCATGTCCTAAAGAATGAAACATATCACAAGAAAACTTTTTTCACTTTGTCATACATACATACATACATACATACATACATATATATATATATATATATATATATATATATATATATTCCATGGTCATAATTTATTCCATTATTCCATCGTATTTACGATTCCAATGGAATAAATTATGACCATGGAATATTAGTGTTTAAGTTTTTTATTATATCCTAGGATTCTATCCTCTTGGAATTTTTTATTAAAAAAATATACATGTATGTGTATGCACCTATGTATATATATCTATATATTTTGCATATGTATGTGTATATTTACCACTAATATTAGCTCTCTCTCTCTCTATATATATATATATATATATATATATATATACACTTTAATAATAATATAACTGTTGTGGTAGGATCCACCTAATTTGCATAGTGGAGTACCGACCATATAAATATGGTTGGTACCGGGAAGAGAGGGAGGAATCAAGAGATTCAACCAGAGACTCTGCCCGACTGTGACTCAGTCAACACATTCTCCAGGAATGGTCTTACCAGGAATATACAAAAGACTATATGTAAATATTGTGTACACTTTCTTGTTTCAATACATTTTGTTCTAAGTACATTTTGTGTTGCATTATTATTCCATGCATTAGTCAAGTTTCAACAATAACATAAATCAATTAAAATATTAATTAAAAATTTTAATAATTAAGTTAATAAAAATTAACAAATATTACAATTTAATTAATAATAACAACTTCTATATAAACTATAAAAAAAAATTAATTTTGAAGAAAAAATTTACAACTTAGAAAAATCTAAAGCTGAAAAAAATGAAAGATCTAAATAAAAGCAAAATATCATGAATGTGTGCATGTAAAAGAACGTTAAATTTATGAATATGCACATGTACAAAATGGAGTAAAAAAGCAGAAGGAAAAAGACGTGGAACAAAGTGAAAAAATTGGAAATACCGTTTAAAACCTCAACTCCTGAAGACTAAAAATTTTACCAAAAAACATTGATGTCAGGAGAAAATTGATATTTAAAAGCTAAGTAACCTTTATATATATATATATATATATTTGCATGGGTAAAGTCTGTTTGCTATATATAGCCAAGCCATTTTATGTATAGTACTCAGAATTGATTTGCAGATTTATTGGACAGCAGGGAAGGGTTTTAACATAAAAATTTGGTTGCTCATGGAGAAAGAAGGTATATATTTATTTTGTGTTATGCATATTTACCTTCTATACTAACAATTACCATTTGTAACTGTTTGATGTAAGACTATAATTTGTTTTTTATTATTAATGTCTGAACAGTAAAAATATTTATGTTCTTTGGACTAAAGCATTTTCACAGAACAATTTTCTCCCAAAAATATATTTTCTCCTCTTCATAGGATTTCTTCATTGGAAACTTACCAGGAACTTAAGCCAACTATGATACACCATCATCAAGCAAAAACCATATTACAAGATAATCAATGTTGTAAAGTAGTATATCATAGTGGCTGATATTCAATTAAGTAGTCACACAAACTGAACATGGACAACCTTTTACTCATGTCAAGGGAAGACTATAGTCTCCACTCTTTACATATTTAAATTAGACTAACACTACAATATGCACAATCCTTGAATGATCTTGTTTGTTAAATATTTTCTTTCTTTTTAGTTTTTCTTAGAAACTAATTGTTCATGACCAATATTTTTAATTAACAACAAAGATTACACAATAGATATGTTTTTGTAAATAAAAACTCTATGACATTTTTTTTTATTAAAAAATTGATACATGTTTTGAGATTTCTATTCCCTTCATCAGTCACATTATATAAATTTGAATGTGCTAATTGTAAAGTTAGTTACATTTGGTGAGATATTATCATTTGCCCAAACTTGCAATGGAATATCTGGTTGTGGATAAAAGTCATTTTATGAAACATATTTGTCAAATAACAACCAGTGTAAATAAAAATATTTTAACTGTTTCTCTATTATTCAGATAGCGAACACACTACAAATTGGTCATTAAAGATAGATTCTGGATTACTAAAAGGAAGCCTTAATTAATGAAACAAGGTAAATTATGACAGTCTTGAGAATGTAAAAATAATTTTGTAGAATTATAACAAACATGTCTTACACTAATCCCTCTTCATCTTATTTTTTTCTCTAAAATTGCAGATTCTTCTTTGGATTTTATTAACTTTTATCACACTGTATGTGACTTCATTTGCTGTACAAAAAGTTTACCTTGTCACTAAGTGACTCTGATCCCTGAAGAATAGTGTGCTTCAATTTCATAGATGTGTTGTCATATCCTGCTATGGCAACAGAAAACAACTTTGAATGAAATTAACAATAAGGATAGTAATTGAGAGCCCTTGTAAGAATGCAGTGGGAAGTAATATTAATAATGCAAAATGCTAAAGGTTAAGAATCTAATTATATAGCAGAAGTACCAGACCAGATGTGACAGCAATATTCAATGCATGGATGAATGGTAGAGTTATAAATGTGTAAAATAGATTCTGACAAGAAAAATTGTCATGCTGCACAATATAGTGAACCAACTTTCCTAGCAGCAGATATAGCAATTGATTTTATATAATCTTTCAACTTTATGCCAGTGAAAAATATTGGTGAGACATCTTTTCCCGAAACATGCAATGGAACATCTGGTTGTAGATAAAAAAATCCTCAGTTAACCAACATTTGTCAAATAGCAATCAGTGGAAATAAAAATATAATTCTAATTTCTGAGATGAGGTATTATGTACATTATTTACATTATTCGGACTATTGTCCTCATCTTTGTCGCCATATTTATCACAACGTTTTGGCCGTTGTATGCTCCGGCCTTCTTCAGGTAGTTGGAATGTTGAACTGAATCCTTTATTTCGCTCATTGTTCAAGTTCCACGTGCCATGTTTTAATGGATGTCAGTTTATCCACTGTGCCATGTGTCCTTGAGAACACATGGCACAGTGGATAAAGGCATTGGTTAGATCCAGTGACAAGACCCAAAGGGTGTGAGTTCAATACCTGGTTAAGGTGGTGGAGAACTTTCAGAGGGAAAATTAACAGGAGATAACTGATAACTGACATCCATTAAACATGGCACGTGGAACTAGAACAGTCTACCCCAATGAGCAAAATAAAGGGTTAAGTTCGACATTCCAACTACCTGAAGAAGCCTGGAGCGTACAACAGCCGAAATGTTGTAATAAATATGGCGACAAAGATGAGGACAATAGTCCAAATAATGTATAATTCTAATTGTTTCTCTATCATTAACATGGCAGACACATCACATAAATTGGTTATTAAAGATTTTTGTATTGCTAAAAGGGAAACTCGTTCAAATAAATGTTAAATTATGACAGTTTCGGGGATGTAAAAATAATTTTGTAGAATTATAAAAAACAGATGTTATGCTAATCACATAACACTATCTTTTTTTTTTCTCTTTAATAATTTTGAATTATTGAATTATTTTCTCATTCTGAGAATTTTGATTTATTGTCCATTACAAGCCTGTATTGTACTGCGGATTTGAACTTAAAAATTAAGTCAGTTTAAATCTTGGACTGATGAAAGGAATCTTATGTGCCATGTACCTTCAGGGTGTGGGTGATGGTGGGTCTCCATCAATCCTTGTCCTTTGGAGCCCTAAGCAATATTTGACCCCTTGTTATCTCTCCCACTCTCTGTTTTGACATCAGTTTACATAAGCTCATTAGGTATGTTGCTTGTAACTTACCTGTGACTATTTTACCTTCAACAGTTGCTTATGCACAAATACTCTTAGGAAAAGTATGAATCTATCTTCGCACCTTCAGTTATTTTTCCAAGTACAAGTTCTAATATTTATAGTAAGACTTGTACTTGGAAGAATTCTTATAAAAAATTGTTAATGCCATAATCACTTGCCAAAAGATGAAAAAGGAAAAAAAAATATTCTTACAACCTAAAATGTTTCAGGCTTTAAATAATCCACAATACAATAAGCCTTAAAAAACAAATCAATTAATTATTGCTTATGCACTCCATCTATGATATTCTCAGCATCCTTCTGTAGAAGCACATCTCTGCTGCCTCATCTCCACTTCATCTGTGTGAAGATTGTTCTGAATTCACTGTCATATAGGAGGATTGATATTATATAACAATTGAGTACTCTTTTCTTTGTTTCTGACAGAATTTCCCTGTTTCTTAATATTGTGCTTAGAACTATTCCTGTTCATCTTCGATTTTTCTGTGTCACATTTTATATTTTCTGTCTGAGAAATTTAGTAATCGGGGAAGTTTTATAGGAGGCGATAGAAAATGGTTAGAAGGTATTAGGAGGGCTGAAAATGTGCCAACATTCAATAAAATGTCATAGATTTTTTTGTCTAGAATT